TTGCATTGTTTTGTTCAGCAATATACTGATAAACCAGTATTGGTCGTTTGTTGTTAGCTTTTTGTTACAACAAATTACAATATTTTGTTAGCCGGCTAGAAGTTTATGAAAGCTTTTAGCCCTGAAATATGCCTGCAAGTATGATACAAAAATGTTTGAAATATGCCCAGAAATTGTTAAGATATGCAGCGTTTGGTCTCAAACACCTATTTTACAATGCCATTTCTTATTTTTGCCACCTAGAGACAGTGTAAATGAAAACCTAATTTGCAAATTAAATACGTTATTAATAATCTACTTCTGCATATTACTTTGCATTAAAAGCATAGAAATCCACAAAAAATTTATTAAGATTATGTGTAGTTAGGGGGTGTCTGTTCTCAGACAATACAATTTTGTTCGTAAAAATTATATTTCTACGATCAATCATCAACATGAAAGTCTGAGCGCCCACAGTAATCTCAAAAGGTTAGAGTTTCCTGAGTTGGCTGAGAAGAGGCGTTTGGAAAGACGAGGGTAAGCCTTAAGGCGGCTCCACATAAACGGCATTCGACGAATCCCGAGTAACCGTTGGCGAATCCCTAGTAGTGTGCACGGGTTGCTTGCGATTCGCTGTGCGCCGAACGTTCGCCCTACTCACCGCGTGTCGGTCTTTAGGACACATCAAAGGGAACGAAAATTCGCCGAACAAATCAGCTGTTCGAGATTGGGCGAGCAGTAGTTCGCTGCTCGCCCAATGCCGCAAGGAAAAGTCGTACGAAATAACAGGGCATCAGAGTCATTCTGAGCGAGAAATAGTCTGCTCGATGAAGATAGTACCGTTAGTGCTCTCTATAGAACGAAACGTGAACTACTGTACTACCAGTTCGATTTTGGCACAGTCTGAACCATAAGAGACCCACTACAAACTAACACAGCGTTCTTTATAAAGTGTTAAATCAGCAGAAACTGTGCCAATCTGTAGATGGCTCAAAGGTTTAGGAAGAGGCCGACAGATGGCCCTACACCCTGTGCGTTTGATGAGAGTATTGATAGAGCATCGAATGACTAAGCGCTCGTTCAAATGAACTACTACAAAGCAAAATATTTTAAAGAAACTATATTTTATACATACATTTGTGGCGAAAAATATATTTTTCTTCCTTTTTGTTGATGGTGCCATGGCATACTGCCTCTACCCTAGAAGCCGCTACTGATTTTGATTTATCTTTTGAGGAATATGTGGTACTGTGTGCGTAAAACAGAGACACCAGAAAAAGTAGTTTGTAGACGCCAAAAGATCAGTTGCCTAATATTTTGAAAATGAGACCATTAATACAATTTTCAATGCATTATTACTAATAAGAGGCACAAAATCAACCAGAAACCTTAAGATTTCAGACCCGATACTATTTGGCAGTCGACCTATATTGGAGAGGAGAATAAGGTTACAAGACTTGCACTTCCGCCCAATCAGTTACATGGAATGGTAAAGGAAATAATCTCCACAAAAGTTTTAATAATTTTATTAATAATTTTCTAGAGTTAACTTTCGGGAAACACTTTTCCCATCCTCAGTGGATCTTGCTCAAGCAACGTGGATCTCCCATGAATGTTCACAAATGGTCAAAAAAAATGTAAACGGCAAAACATGCTGGTTACAGCTAGGTGGCAGCCATCTTTTGGAATGAGCGGAGATTATTTCCTTTACCATACTATGGAATACCACAAGATATCTGCTACCATCACGGAATTCAGTTACATGGAATTAAAATAACACAAGATCGAAACGTGCAACAGGCAAACTGCTCGAGTCGGTCCACTGTGCGGAGCCGAGGTCTGATGAGCCGACGCTGGCGGGTACGAGGGCAGCCAGGCCTATCTTGGAGACTGCTGTGTCACTGACCAGAGAGGTCCCACGCGGACGATGTATATCGGCGCTCGGCTGACATTGTGTGCTTCCCAGGATGACCATCCCCTCACTTCTTCCTCCCGCTCCCCTTCTATCTGTGCCGTGCCCCGCTTCGCTCTCCTTTCGCCTCCCCGCCCTATCACACACCTCCCCTCCTCCCACTGCCTCCCCATCCTCTATCACGCACTACCCTACGCTACTCCACCCCACCCAACCATCCCCCGCCACCCCTCGCATTTCCTACAACGCCGCACACTTCTCTTTTGGCCATGCACCCACCTCCCGCCTCCTAGACCCACCCCACCCCGTCTCGCCATGCCCCACCTTACTCCGCCCGGTACCGTTCCGCCTCGTCACGTTTCTCCGTGGCTGCCCACTCTCTTCACACAACCCTCTACGCCGCCCCGACCCTCGCTGCCACGCCTCGACCTTCAGACACGGCGTTCTCCTTCCGCCTTCGCTTATCACAGGCGATGGGCTCACGTGCATCCTCTCGCTCCTCAAGCGCTTGACGATAGCCGATGCCCGGCCGCCGCCGCCGCCGCCGCTAAGCGATCAACGCCCCCGAGCCACGAAGTGCTGCAGCGGAGTGGGTGACTCGCCAAAAGGAGTCTGCCCCCTCCCCCCGCGTCGCCTTCACCCAGAAGTGCTTTTCCTCGATACCTTATGATTCACTTTAATACATCCCTAACTTATATATATATATATATATATATATATATTAATATATATATAATTGTAAAATTAAATTTATAATATAATATATTATATATATTATTATATATAATATATATTATATATTATAAATTTAATTTCACAATGCTGTCTGTGTGAGTATTTCCTTTTCTATCTACGCCTTCCTCCCTCGCTTACATTCCTGTGTCACCAAAGTGAAAACCCCCTCATCCTAATTGCGTTCGTATTTCTCTTTAAATGACCTTCTTTCCATTTAACTATTGTACTAAAATTTTTTTGAAAGTGGTCGGGGCGCGAAGAGCAGGCTAAATGGGCCTGAGCCTCGCCATCAATAGACATATTTTTTTTTCATTTATTTATTTATTTATTTATTTTACGGTGTGATTGTGGATTCAGTGGCGGCAGGTCCTTTAAGTGCTGGCGGGGCTTTTGAACACTAGCCATCAGGGTTGCCAGATGCTTCGTACAAACATCCGCCATTAGATGGATGTAAAACCACCCAATAAGAAAACTTCAACATTGCAAGCGGGAAATTTGAATTTGAATTAAAATGTATTAGGTTTTTTTGAGATGATGACACTATGAAATGCTTGATTGGTTTTATTTTTTTGTTTGTGAACACTGTCATTAATAATAATGTTTATGTAAGAACGTATGCTTTTTGTAATATTGAGTTATATATTAATATTTAAAAATGGTTTATGACTATTCTTATGAATACAGCAGATAGGAGAAATAAGTTAAGGGATACAATAATTTCTCCACTTTCCCATTTTCACTCCTTGCGCTTTTTAATTATCCGTGCATAAAAAGATTACCACAGAAATGCTTACATATGCATGCTTATTCCTTATGGCTTAACGGAAAATACAGGCAGTGAAACTGTAATTCCAAAAGATGACTAATTTTAAATGGTGTGTTCTAAAAATAACTCCAAGTACTACCAATGCGATATATCATATACTCATGTTGTTCCCGACAAATGAGTATGACATTTAGAGCACACTCTATGGTAGAGGTCTAGAAACAAACATTACTCTCTTCTAAAAAAGTAAATTTTAACGAATTAACAAATAATTAATAAAAATTATGTGTGATCTGAAAACCTAAACAAATCGGACTCACTGTCAACGACGTTGTGTGTATGTTTTTAAAATTTCGGTCTAATCTGAAAACCCGCCCAAAACGCACGTGTTTTGACGGACTTCTACCACTTGGGCGGTATTACGCGAAATCAAATTTTGTCCCGCGAAAGAGCCGTTTTCCAGCCTCAAATGTGGAATTCCACCCAATCTGGCTACCCTAATTGCCGTTGCCATTCTTTATTTTAAGAATTTATTCTTTATTTTAAGAAAGTTAAAAGTTCGATCATTTTACCAGATTTTGATGTAATTGTATTTCGTCATTTTGAAGTTTCTAAAATTACTTTTTATAATCACTGCATGGTTGATGAGTGTAATTCCCATATCAGAGAGCAGGTCGGGAGGACTTAATGCCAATCCCTATCTTGGGCAGGTGATCAGTGATCGCGTTTTGTTTGCACTGTAAGATAATAGTAAGAAAATGCGCTAATGACCTAGTAGTTGATGCGACCTTAAATAAAAAAAAGTAAGAAAATGAAGGTGAGTGATGTTGGTAGATAAAGGTTGTTAAGGTGGATTATGCGGTGGTAAAAAGAGGCTAACAACTCCTCATGGCATGATGGACACATCCATGTCTTACACAGAAGTCGAACCCTCATCCTCCACTTGGACGATTCTCAATGCACCCACACCAATTAGAAGACTATATATAGTATGTCTGTAAGCTACCGTTACAAAACGTATTTCGGATTCTGTAATTATTTTTATAAAGAATGGCAGATCCACTTTTCCAGAAAAAAAGGCTTTCAGACAATTGAGTTTAAATATTATTTCCGTTCAAACCAGCTGCTGCGACACATCAGGGCGTCGTCTTCCAAACAGCTCGAGGATGCGTCCTTCCTCCGTGTTTCCGGTGAAACTGTCGAAAGAGGAAAACACGGCTTGCCTCACGATAGAATACTTTACGATTATCAAGCATTTGATGTGTACTTTTTTCATCTCACCTATTAAATGTACATAAAATGTATTTTGTTACAAATAACCATGGTATGCAGAGGCGTGGCAGTGAACGCTAAACACGAACCAAGCGTTATGGAAATTAACAAAACTCTTGGATTTTTCGAATTATTTGTTGCATATCTTCAGTGTGAACTAATGCCATGTGCCTTAGATATCCACATACGATCGATGATAGGCTCTGTTTCTATTATTAATATCATGGCACATGATACTAGCGTTTTGAAACTAAAACCATTGTTTATTAACCTTTTGAGTTCATTGATTTCTGGACGTGAAGTTCGAACTCATTCTTTCGTCAAGCATTTTGTGGAGTCGCAAGTCGATAAGTGCGTTGGTATTGAGTTTCTTTCTGAGCGCACAGTTCAAACAATTGCGTCCGAAAGATTTGCTGGTTTGAATTTAGCGACCAAAAATATCATACAAACTCAACTTTTTCGGAAAATATGGATCTGCCATTTGTTATGAACATTAACACAGGTTCTGTGGAATTTATTGAAACGTGAGCTTCCGGACATCCTACGTACGGAAAATAAATGTACAGGACAAATTTCTTTTCATATATTTTATTTATACTCTTATAGATGCTACATTTTGCCTCAGCACTTTTTTATTATTTATTCACTTTAAGATGATACAGTAATTTATGTAAATTGCATTGAATTATATTTTCAACATAGACGTACAATATTTAATCGTAAAGAATATGCCAAAGAATCGGAAAATACCTGTATCATGTAAAAAAACGAAGAAAGTACTATTATTGGAAACATTTTCTTCTCGTATCAAACTCAGAGGATTCTCTTCCTTATTCACTAGTGATTTCCCTGACCTTTAATGATGGTGCTTGGTTCCTTGCAACAACCATACCTTGAATTTTGATGCATTGTCAGTTTATTTATTTTACTCGAATGTAGAAGATAATAATTGAGGAAACTCGTATAGCATTATCTTCGCCTTGAATGCTTCCTGATATCGATGAAAGGTAACGGCAAAAGGAAAGCCGAGGTCTTTGAGATGCCGAAGTGAAAGAAATGAATTAAATTTCTCGCACTCCTCTGAGAAAAGATCTTTCTTCTCAGAAAAGCAAAAAAAAATAGAAATTGCATACATCTTTGCTGTTGGTACCATCTTTTCAACAAAATTCCCAAAAAGTATTTGTTGAGTTTTTTATTTTGTTTATTCTCAATAATAATACCAAAAAGCTAGCCCAGTCTATAATTAGTAAGCTAACGAGTACAAGAGAGTGTAACATTCTGTAGAACCACAAGTTTCTCTTGCGATTGCAATTGAAGAGTAGATGCCATCTTAATAACCTTGCCTTTCATTACATGAAGAAAACAGTACACCTTAAACTATTTGAATTTTATACTTTTAGTATTTTTTACAAATTATTGTTAACAAATTTGATTTTTATTGTTATTTATAACAATAAAAATAATGTGAACGTGTATTTGAAGTAATAATTTTGCCGTTTCCTTTTAATTCTTATTTTTTTACTAATGGAATTTCTCGTACTAGTTAATTTGTTTTCTACAGAAGTACCCTTTTACTTCCAGAATTAGCGATGGATAAGATCTGCTAGCATGAATTACTGCTAGCATGAACGAGCACCAAAGCGCAGTAGTATGCTTTCGCCTTCCTCATTTTTGTACTGCTTTACAAAGCACATGGACGACTTTCCGTTTTTGTCCGTGGCGTTGGCATTTGCCCCTAGTCTTAACAGCGCTTTCATGGCGTTGCCTTTGCCCTTTTCTGTGGTCCAGTGCAGCGGCGTGTATCCAGAGTTGTCAGCGTCTTCTAAGCGCGCTCCAGCTTGCACGAGCATTCTTATACCTACGGAGTTGTCGTACTGGGCCGCCCAAGACAGAGGAGTTCTGCCTCTACTATCCCGTACGTGGACGTCAACTCCGCCGTTTAACAAGACTTTGAGCGAAGGGACATATCCTGCGTACAGTGCCCAGTGTACTGGTGCGTAGTGCTGGTTGTCTAGAACATTCTTATCAGCTCCTGCTTCCAGCAACAATTTGATTCCTTCCGGGTTGTTGTACCGCGCCGCCCAGTGAAGTGGTGTAAAACCTTGATGATCTGTAGCGGACACGTTCGCGCCTAGAATGATCAACGTAGCGAGCGCGTCGACGGCGTCGGGCTTCGTGGCGCGAAAGAGAGCCGTGAAGTTGGAATTATCTCGATCCTCCAAATGCGCGCCGGCCTTAACGAGCATCTTTAGAGCCATAGAATTGTTGTATTGTGCCGCCCAATTGAGTGGGGTTCTGCCTTCCTTGTCACGTGCATTCACATCGACTTTCGCCTCTAGAAGAGCTTGCAGCGCTTCATCGTGTCCCAAATATAATGCCCAATGAATAGGAGTATATTCGCTTACATCTCTCCGGTTTTTGTCTGCTCCTCTCGCCAAAAGGAATTCAATGGCGTCCGAATTATTGTAAGCAGCGGCCCAATGTAACGGCGTTTTCCCTGTTTTATCCGCAGCATTGACGTTGGCTCCGAGGCTTACCAGAACTTTAAGAGCGTCTATTTGTTCCGGCCGTGTGGCCCAATGCAACGCGGTGTATCCGGAATTGTCGGTATCCTCCAAACGCGACCCAGCTTTTACGAGCATCCCGATGCCCTTGGTGTTGTTGTACTGAGCCACCCACGTGAGGGACGTTCTGCCGGTCTTGTCGCGCGCGTGAACGTCGACGCCAGCGTCCAAAAGGGCTTTCAGGGAGGCCTCGTGCCCAAGGTACGTCGCCCAGTGGATCGGCGCGTACTTGTCGTTGTCCCGAGAGTTCATTGCAGCTCCGGCTGCTATCAGCGCATTAATACCCTCCGGGTGGTTATATTGAGCAGTCCAGTGCAGTGCTGTTTTGCCCCACTTATCTGCAATGTTTAGGTTTGCACCTGCATGAATTAACTCCTTCAGCGCGTCTATCTGTTTTGGTTTAGTAGCCCAGTGTAGCGGGGTGTATTTGGAATGGTCCTGGGAATTCAAAGATGCTCCTGCTCTCAACAGTAATCTTATTCCTTCTGTGTTGTTGTAATCAGCTACCCAACTCAGAGCAGTTCTTCCATACTTGTCCTCAGCATTTACATTCACTCTTGCATCTATAAGAATTTTCAGAGCTGCATCATGCCCCAGATAAGTGGCCCAATGAATAGGAGCGTACCTATGATCATCTCGAGCATTCTTGTCCGCTCCCTCAGAGAGTAAGATCTTTATACCTTCGACGTTGTTGTAGCGCGCAGTCCAGTGAAGTGGTCTTTTGAAAGAGCGGTCAATGTCGTGGATATTCGCACCGTAATCGACTAACATTTTAAGTGCTGGTAATTGTTCTTTCTTCGTCGCCCAGTGCAACGCTGAGTAACCGTAACGATCCGATATTGTCATCGGTGCTCCATACTGAATTAGCATTTCTACTCCCTTAACATTATTATATTCAGATGCCCAGCTAAGGGCGGTTCTGCCTTTTTTGTCTCTAATCGTCAAGTCGACAGTAGCATCTAAAAGGGCTTTCAGTGCGTCTTCACGCCCTTGTTTCGTTGCCCAATGGACAGGCGTATAGCCCTCAGCGTCTTGAGCGTTCTTGTCTGCCCCCGCTTCCAGCAGTATCTGGATGGCCTTGACATTGTTGTTATCGGCTGCTTTGTGCAGAGCGTCGTTGTGTAAGACTATGGCGCCATTGGTGAGCAGAAAGTCGAGCGCTTCGTGATTGTTTTTGCCGGCGGCGAAGCAGAGAGGAGTCGATCCGTTTGCGTCGCGGGAGTCGATATCCGCACCTGCCTGTAGCAGTGCGTTCATCGCTTTCGTGTTTCCGTTCTCTGCGGCAACGTGCAGAGGTGTGCGGTCTAAGTAGCCAGCGACATTAGGATCTGCGTATTTCAACAGCGCAACAATCGCTCCTACGGCATCAGTTTTTGCTGCCCAATGCAACGGAGTATCGCCTTTAGTGTCGTTCACTGTCACTTCCGCCCCAGCATCCAAGAGGTAATTGATTTCGTTCACTCTATCCGCTGCTGCCAAGAAATGAAATAAGGTTGCTCTTTGAATGGGAACTTTGGCCAAAGCTTGGACCACGATGCTTTCGAGTTGTCGTCCCACTTCCACACGATCGTCGTTGGGCCCTGCGAGGAGACGGCTGGCGGAGTCTTGTCCTGATGGAGAAGATGAAATACTCCTAGAAGCGGATAATATAGCGTTGAGTCTCTCCTGAGGGATTGTCATGTCTCCGTTGCCAGGACAATCACTGGCATCAGTTTGGAATGAACGTATCAGAAGATCGTTCGCGTCATCTTTTACTGGGTCTGTATCTTGAGGGAAATATACATTTTCAAGATCCGACGCAATCTGCAAAAGACAAATCATGTAGTAATTAAAACGTTATATCTGTAAACCAATAGTCATAAAATTGAATTTAAAAAAATAAAAGTGTACAATTATGGTTTGAAATATTGACACAGGTTTTTGCTTTGATGCACATTTTAATTGGTAATTTAAAGAGGTTAGGAAAGGTACATAGATGCACTTTTCCGTACTATTTTTGTTCAATGAAAGACGTTCTTTACATTTCCTCAGAAACAGAATTTATTGATTTCACCTTTTCTTAAACGAGAAGTCGTTGAAAACATCGTTTAAAAATATGGTAAAAATTAAGAATACGTTTTTAGACTTTGGTTTTCGCATTTACTAACTTCATCCGCCACAATGATATTACAAATCTCTAATTTTTAATTTTGTCTGTTTGTTTTGATGTACATATTTTAAAAAGTATGTTCCAAGGTGTGAAAACTCATCGATTTACTTTTGCGTTTACATGAATCTAGATTACCGTATTAAAGTATGATTTGACTTTTAATGAGTTAAATAACAGTTATGAGAAATGCTATTTTACAATTTTACATGTAATAAAATCACTAGCCGATAGATACAATTACCTGTTGTTTTGCTACTAAATGCATTAGTACAAGATTTTTTTTTCATTTTATCTTTCACGTATGAAATTGCCCATAAATCTCGTAAACTCACTATGAGCTCACTTTCGCCAAGCTAAGTGTTTACATTAAGTTCTCAGACAGTGTTTTGAATAAGTGTTCGTAAGATCTACATCCAGTTTTACTGAAAAAGTCGTGCAACATAATGGTTTTTTTGGTAGTGAGTATCAGAAAGACACTTTTCAACTCCACACGTGCACGATCAAGACATATGCAAAGGTTTAATATATAATTTTGAATAACTAAGAGATTAGTTTCTATTAAGAAAAAAGACTAATTAAGGAATATAAATTGATCGTTACAAATTAGTTTATTCCTATAATAAATATAAATCACATATATACAAGCACTAATGCGTATGACCACATGTGTCCGCTCTTTTTGAGATGTGTTAGTCATGAAAAGCCGTTAACCATAAACATCTTCAATTTTTTAGAGAAACTTGACTTTACCTCAAAATTTTAAAGAAGAATTTGTTTATCTTCTATATTCAGAGACGTTTAAAGATTTTTATGTAAAACTCTTTAACTTAAATTGTTATGAGGGTGAATTTTATTACGTTTTTCTACATTTCATTGCACTTATATTGTCACATTGTGCACTATTTACAAAAAAATTATTTCTTACAGGCGCCATCACCTTCGCCTTCAATATGAAATCTGTTAATAATAACGAATGCTATGACCGATCTCTACGTTTTTCAAAGTTTTTTAGTTGTTCGACTTAAAGAATTAGAATGCCATTAGCATCACACGGGTGCTATTAGGAATCGATAGAAAAATAGTAAAATGTGAGGCTTACCTGAGTGAGAGGTGACGCGGAAATTAAAAAATCGCCACATGCCAGAATCACGATGCACAACGGCACTGACCAGGGTGTTCGGAATCTCATGATGGCCGGATGCTTTTAGTGATGTTCGAGAATTGTGTCCCCACGGAGACACCTCCAAAGATGGCGATCCCTTTGCAGCCCCTCAGTCGATGTTTCTTCTGAAATTGAAGTTGGGGTCATTAGTTACAATTAGGGTGTTATATAGGACCTAAATATGAGACAGTATATGTATATTAATTCAGAAATATATAACTAACAAAACCGGAGTAGAGAAAATGATTAGCCGACCGACTTCTATAGTTCGATTTTTATGAAGCTGTCTCTCAAGACCAGTCTTCATTATGGCTTTATTCGCGTCTTCGTTGCTCCTGCCGCTATATGTCGCATGATCGCAACCGTATCATGCACTACTTGATCATGCGAGATCTGGTGGCACGACCAAGAAAGACGCGAAATGCAGTGACATAATGCCACAGTAAAGACGGGCCTTGAGAGGCAGCTTCATAAAAATCGCATTATAGTACATGGTTAATTACTCGGCGTTGTCTAAGTATTGGTTAAAGCAATTATCTGTTGAGCGCGTAATATTTTCTTTTCGCACAAATATAACCTTGATATGAATTATTTCCCTCACTGTTAAAGTAATATTTTGTGTAAACATGAAGTTCTTCAATGTGGAATACGACTAATCTGGCAAAAAATTCCTCTTCTTTATAAAGAAACATGTATTGAGAAACTCCGTGACTGACCTGATTAAACAGTTTGTGAGTAGTAAACAAATAAATAAAACTGGATTGAGTAGAGGTCATTTCGATATCACTCATTCCGAGAACGAAAATGTTTTCTGTTGCCGCTCGTTTTCTTATAGAAGAATTCTCAGAACGATTACTGCATAATTGACGTAGATTGATACAATTTTTCCCCCAGGCAAGAGTTTCGGTTCCTTAGATCGTCGGAATGTTTCCATTGCCACGTACGGTCATCGATTGCACTAGGAAACTTTGATTTCATTACGACTTATCATGTAATCTGCTAAAATTAAATTTTAACACACAAAACTGCTATCACAACAATTTTTTTCGGAATTATATTCATAGTTTTTACATTTAGTTTCTCAGACGTTAGATTTAAGTTTTTTTGTTTTTCTTTCTTCTTTTTCTTTAAGTTCCGTAATGTCATTGTCCTAAGAACATATTGAGTTGTTCGAAACTAGATTATTGCATGATCAATAATGTTTTCACCTGACAACATTTCCATGGATAGTCATCTTCATCAGATAATTTAAAATTCCAGGATTGATAATAATTGAAATAAGGAAAATAAACACAACGTTTTAAAACACCATTTTAATTAGTAATAATTTTTATACTGTTACTAGTAAAATACCCAGCGTTGCCAGTTTTTTTCATTTTCAATCCGTCTCTCTCTCTTCTCTCTCTCCGTGTCTCTCTCCGCCCCTCTCCGTCTCTCTCTACGCCTCTCTCCCCGTCTCTCTCCGTCTCCCTCTCTCCGTCTCCCTCTCTCCGTCTCCCTCTCTCCGTCTCCCTCTCTCCGTCTCCCTCTCGCCACCTCTCTCCGTCTCTCTCCGTCTTTTCTCTCTCTCCATTTGTCTCTCTCCGACCCTCTGTTTCTCCCCGTCTCTCTGTCCCTGTCTTAGTCTATCTCTGTCTATGTCATCCTTCTCTCTGACCCTGCCCTGTCTGTCAGTCTCTTGACACTCTATCTCTCTGTCTAACTCTCTCTCTGTATCTGTCTCCGTCTCTCTCTGCTTGTTTCTCCCTCTCTCTCACTCTGCGTTTCTATTTGTCTCTTTCCGTCTGACTGCCTCTCAACCTCTGCCTATGTTTGACCCTTGTCTGCCCCGGTTGCCACGGTCTGTCTCCGTCTGTCTCCGTCTGTCTCCGTCTGTCTCCGTCTGTCTCCGTCTGTCTCCGTCTGTCTCCGTCTTTCTCCGTGTGTCTCCACGTGTCTCTTATCTGTTTCTGTCAGTATTTGCGCTGGGCTTAACAGTGCCTTCCGTTTTTTCTATTACTTTAGGTTTTCGAGAAAATTAAGAATGTTTTTCATAAAAGTCCCGTTTGTATACCATTGTATGGCATGAGAAATATCTAATAATAAATGTGATTACACCATTTATGTGTTTTATGAATTACACCAGTTCGCTCGTATCATAGAGAAAGACAGTGTACATATATATAGAGCTTATCACAGAATTACTCTAGATAATCAGAAAGCTGGTGTTTTTACTGGATTTCAGATCATGAAATTAATGTGTGAACCGAAGTTTGACAACTATACAAAGAGAAAAACTAGTGCTACAGAATGGCACAGACTTTCTCGTATTAGTTTTCTATTCCCGTTCGCCTGGGATAAATATTCGGACTTACCACATACTCCATCTACCACCATCCCAACTATATTTTTTAAAACTTTCTTAATTTTTCGGTTTTCTAATAGTAGAACAGATATATTATTTTAAGATTATTAAAGAACAATAAAACCTCGTCCTAAGTGCAATTATCTTTGAAAAATTTGGGGCCATTTTCAAGAAAATGTCGTTAAAAGCAATTAGAAGCACAACTACAAGTGTTTACAAATTGCTGGAAATGTTCACATTAACGGCGTGAGAGATCTTTCAAAAATTAATACATTTGCGTAATTTTTGAAAACAAAAACAATAAAAAAGTACCCCGAAATGATCTTTTCGTCATATTAGAGTCCAATTAGCACTATCCGTTCGAAAAAATGAAGAAAAAATTTGGAGCCATTTTTGAGGAAATGAGGTTTGATAGTTTTTTTGGAAATGTGGAATTTTGAGCGAGTTTCCGGGAACTTAATCTGTCATTATTTAAAGCAGATGTACTTATAAATACATTAATGTAAACATTTCCGCTAATGAAAATATTAACAACGTGCTAGACAAGTCAATAAAATTACGTTTTTGTAATTTTTCTAAAAACTGAGCAATATAGAGTTTATGCCATCTTATAGAGTGCATTTAGTACTATCCCTATGAAAAGCTTAAAGAAAATCTTGGGACCCATTTTTGAGAAAATCTTCGTTTTATAATTTGTAATTATGCACGCAATACTACTCGAAAACTACTAATATTTTCAAAAAATTTACATGACAGAAATAAAAGAACTTATTATAGAAATAAATTTCAATGAAGGAAAAAACATCCATCTTCAATTTTGTAGTTGTATGAAGACACGGAAAAATCAAACTTTTACAAGTTACTAAAATTTATAGTTAATCAGATCTATACCACTTTTATATGTGCATTTTACTCTATTCTTACAAGAATTTAAAAAACATGGTGTCATTTTTTAGATAAAATTTTGAAAATGCACTAGAGGCTTCATGCAAAGTATCCCCAAATTTTATAGAATGTTTTTCAAAATATCAATGCTTCGACTCGAGACAGATGGACAGGGGTTTCTTCAATTTGGAAAAGATCTTACGTACGGTTTAAAACCTAGTACTATTCACTGACGGACAGACAGATGGACCGACGGATGTTTTGAAATAAACCATTTTTTCGGTATCTGAGGACTCCAAAACGTGTTTCCGTGAAAATTTCGAAACCAATTTTCCGCAGCATTACATAACTTTCCCTATACTACGTATATTATTACGTATGTATATGGGAAAGTAACATGCCTGTCAGAGCTATAAAGAAGTAAAAAACTTTCAAAGGAAACATTAAGAGTCAAGTAATTGTAGAAAATCATTTATACATCGTTGAAAAATTTTAGAAGACTACGCAGTAATAAGAGTTTAAACATATACATCCTACATGCCCACATGGTTTATTTTACAGATTGTCTTCGATTTTACAGAGAGAAACATGATGAACATTTTCACCAAGATGTGAAAGACATTGAAATAAGAGGCCATAGAGGTTGGACTGCTAACATGATGGCTTACTACAGTTGGGCCCTGGAAAGGGGAAAGTACTTCTCATGCGTATGGAAGAAGTGCAAAAAGCAGTAAAAAATTGAAAAATAGAAATTATAGACATAATTCTAATTTACAACACTTCCTTAAACATGCCAATGGGCTTGTAGAAGGTTATAAATGTACATATTGGTTATGAGAAAATATTAAAATTTTATTTTTATTTTTTTGTAACTGGACGTGATAGAGGAAAACTGATAACATATTTGGAATCAGCACTTCAAAATGAGGGGGAAGAAAACATTCAAAACTAAAGCATTTTTAAAAAGTAGAGCAGTGTGATATTAAAATGTATTTTATCGTGTTTACATGAAGTTTGTGTGTTTTTTTGAAGTAATTTTTATTTGATCGCACATTTTAGTGAATAAAATGTGAACGGAGTACTGTAAAAAGCCACTATTTTTAGTATTTTAAAATAATGGCGGTTTCAGTTTGTCTAGGTATAGTTGCAGATTCTAGTGTTTATTTTTTGAGTCAACCATTCTAATATATCGAAAAAGGTAATGCCAAACTGAAACGCACAATTTGGACAAGTTAATTTAAAATGAACCTACGTACTCATATAATGAATATAAATGAATAAAAAAATGTAAAAAGGAAGGCGCGTATTATTATAATTTTTTGTTCTACACAAAATACAGAGAGTGTCAATTTGGGGGAAGCCTGACTGGTGTACTTGTGTTCGGCAAATTCAATTTACATGCCTCGAACTAGCGCAAATCTCCAACCACCAAATTGCGCGCCGCGAAAACTACCACATTATATTACCAGATGCTTAAATAGCACCAAATAATGCGATTTCATAACCACGCATTCGAATTTTAATCTTTTATTGCTTTTGGGTCGTTCTATCCAAAAGTTGATTTTTGCGACATTGCTTTAAAGTATAAATAATGATATGCAAAAAAACAACAAAAAACAAAAGAAAGCTCTTTCTCCAGTTATTCAACGATACACTCACGAAGAATGCAGAAAATGATATACATTTTTATTATTCCAAGAGGTCAACAATCATCCATTATTTAAACATTATTTAAATTTAAAATAGATATTTCATTAATTTCGCACATTTATTGGTCGTTCCTTGGACATTCTTCGAAACGAGGTGGTCCTCCATTTCGTGGCCTCTTGCAATGAACCTGATCCACCAGAGGAGAATGTGTGTGTGTGTTTGTGTGTGTTTGTGTGTGTTTGTGTG